CAGCCCTGGCAGTGTTCAAGGCCAGGTTGGACACAGGGGCTTGGAGCAACCTGCTCTAGTGGAAGGTGTCCCTGCCCATGGCACGGGTTGGAATTGGATGAGCTTTAAGGCCCCTTCCAACCCAAACCATTCTGTGACTCTATGACACAGATCCCCACTCGTGAGGGAAGCAAGCAGCAACAAAACCCTCTGGAGTTGGACTGCCTGATCCAACCCTGGGATGCAGGCTTAGAGCATGCTGCAAGAGTCAGTGGGTGCCTATTTTTCACATTATTTTCCTAAGGGGAATCACAATCTAAGGCGACACGTGCGCTGTGGGCATGCTACTGCTGCCCCCTTGTGGGGATTTGAGGTTGGAACACACATGTACCTATGTAAACCAGGGACACCCTCTGTGTCAACGCACCCTGACATAGAGGAATGAACAAGTCAGGGATGAACGAGTGAAAGGGGCTCTTTAGTGACAGCCAGTCAATCCAATTCAGTCAGACAATCCTAAAATAAAAAGCCCACTGTACCAAGGATGTTGCAAGTAGTGGCACCCCCCAGACCGCTACGGGCCACAAGAGCCAGGCTGGCCTTGGAGGTGGGGCAATGGGACATACGCCCATGGAAGGATGCCAATTAACACACATTGAGAAGGTAATCGTGTCCCCCTTCCAGCTGCATGTGAACACGTAAGATTTCCCAGCAGCAGAAATATTCCCACAGAGGAGCAAGAACTCATTTGCCATCTTCTTCACCTCTTCTGCTCCCCAGCCTCTCTGAGTAGGGTAGAAACTGGGGCTTTACAGAAACAGCAGATGAATTTGAAGGACTAGGGGAGTTTTAGGTACGTGTAGGTACAGACTCCCCACTCTGGAAGCACAAGTGTAGAGAGGAAGATTCCTCTAGACGCCGAGGGGTTGGAAAACATGTGCTGAGGTAAAAAGCCTGTTCCCTTTTGCCCCTCCTCCATTTCGTAGAAATCACAGGGACATTATGAGGTCAGGCCCAAAACTGCTTTTGCCTTTCAGCTCCAGTGGAAGGAGCCCATGGGGAGGTGACAGACATATGCATGTGGCTGACAGAGGGAGCAATAAATGCCGATGGCCTCCCAGCCAGTGCAAGCATGATCTCAAGGTGACAGGAAGGGGAATAAAATACAGAACGAGCATTTTAATGACATCAGTATTCACCCAAAACTTTCTTGATGGGACATAGTGCAAACAGGAGAACTATTGGTCATGCTTTATAAAAGACAGGGGCTAACCTTTCAGGCTGCTTGGGGTGGAAGAAAAACCGTGAGTGGAGCTGAACCCAGTGTAAGTCTCTGTGTATCCATCATTCCAGGCAAGCTGCTCATCCTTCCTGGAGGGAAGGGTCCCTTGTAGTGCTCTTCTGAAATGACAAATTATCCGACCTATAGAGTCAGTAAAAACCACCCCTCTCCACTTGAGCTACACAACTGCCCTAACTGAAATCAGGAAAAGTACCAGGGAGTTTGTCTGGAGTGACACTTTAGGATTCAGCATAGAAATAAACCGTCAAGTATACACATCGTACGGCACTCCAGGACGAGAGATCCTGCACCAGGCTGCCACAGACCGCCAGCGGGTCACCTCTGACGTGGGACATGACACTGTAAGTTACCCAGGTGATCCTGCACTCTCTTCTGTGACCCCTGGACGTCACTGTGAGTACTGGTCCGTGAGATAAACACCAACACCATCTTCAAGTGACTCTGAACTCCGCAAGGACAACACAGGAGCCTCAGCACTGCTGGATTTTAGCCCCTCACTTATCATTTAAAGCACGTTGGTCCTCTTTGTAACAGCAAGATCTGAGCAGGTCTTTGGCAACTCATGATAAGTGGAAGGCAAGGAGATGTAGAAGGTGCATGGGGCAGGGCAGAATCCTGCTGTGGATCTCCGTTACAGTGTTGTCACAACAGCACCTTTGAGTTGCAGTGCAGAGGGAGACAGGTTAAAGCTCATCCTTGGCATTAACGAGATGCTGCAGTGGACGAACCGATACCGCATGATCTCTCAGCAGCTGGTCCTCTGACCCTTTGTGGCTGTCAGGGGGTCTGTCACCCAAGAAGTCTGTGATGCTGTAATCCTGCAGCAGGCCAGCTTCTACCGCGTGGCGCTGGAGCCCCTCACTCCCCTCCAGACCTTGCATTCTCATGTAGCCCTGCCGACAGAAGGGAGGCAGCTTCTGACGGGTGAGGGCAAACAGGAAACAGGACTCTGTGGGGGAAAGGATCAAGTATCAGACTCAGCAGATACCCTGCGGAGAAAAATTCCCGTAAACTCTTGAGGACTCATTCAAAACAAAAACCAGAGAGGACAAGGGAAGGCGACCGGAGTTTCCCACCCGACACCCTGCCCTGGATGGCAGAGGAGTAATTGACTTCATTATGCAGAGCTGAGGAGATGCAGGGTGGGAGCTCCAGCCTCTGCTCCGAGAGGAAAAGGAGCTGGATTTGAGCTTGCAGCCCTCTGGCATGTTCTTTGTACCACAGGACTGCATCCCTCTGTGTGCCACGTGGAGGTCCTGCAGGAGGTTCCCAGACCAGCACTCTTAATTTCCCAAGCAGTCCTATCATCAGTATGTGAAAAGAGATCTGGTACCCGGTGCCATAAAGGAACGTTCAGATAATGGAGGAAGAAGGAAAGCTGAAGCTAGAAAAGGGATTGAACCCAACCTCATATACCTTTCCCTAATCTAGGTGCACCTGGGGCAGTCTCTTTCTGACGGTGAGCAGGGACAAAGGGTATTTGGGAACATACACACAGCACTGGCATCTTCTATCACCTGGAGTGTGGATCAGAGAAGTGTGACTGATAGTGAGACCACCAGCACACCATGGGGAGACCTCAGCTGTTTGCAGAGGAGATCACTCCTGTTGCTTGTCCCTCACATCCCTCCTCCTGTCACCTCCACCCTGTGCACAAATTACCTGCAAAGAAATTGCGCAAGTCAGTGCCGAGGCAGTTCTCCAAAAACCGCCTCAGGGGCAGGATGTGGGCATTCGGGGCTGTCCAGTCTGTCAGAAAGTCCTCCACAATGTGATGGATGGCATCGGGGCGGGGGAGAGGCCAATCTGGGGGTCGAAGTTTCATCTCATGCTCTGCCAAGAGAACATTAATGGAATCTCTCAGAATCAAAAGAGCATTAAAAAACGCTTGGGCAGTGGAAAGCAGCTACCACAGCTGTTTCAGCTTTTGTCCTGACCTTTTAATCCCTACCTGACTTTCATTTGCAATCCCCTCTGCTAGCTTTGTCCTCAGCAGCCCTGCCACTGCACAGCTGCCCCTTGTCCCTGCCTGCAGTATTCCTGTCATTTCACTCCTGTTCCCCCTCGGCAGGGACTGCCAGACGGACTGAGCTCTATTCAAGCTTTAATACTGCTACCCATCATGCTTCTTCCTGTGCAAGGCAGGCTGGACCCTGACCCTAGGTTTCTGAAGATGAAGATTCAGCACAATTATTTCCCAAGAAAATCTATTCTGAGTACGTTTGTTTGCTGGCTGTAACACCCATCTTCAAACCCTTGCCTTTGGCTGCCTCTCACTGTGTGACCTCTCAGACCTGGGCTGGCCACAGAGACCAGCTTTCTTTTGGTGGTAACACTGAACGGCCTGGCCTCATCTGCCAGGACTCTGCAAAATAAACAGAGGGTGCCAGCCAAAGGGAAGCAATGTCCCTCTTTTTGGGAACAGGGAAACTCCCAGCATGCCTATTTGTTTCTATTCTCAAGCGTGAGGTCTCTCGTACAACTCTCCCACTGTGCATCAGTCTGACTGATGGAAACTCCTTGCCAACTCCCAGCTTTTTTTCAGCTCACACAGTGGTGGTGGGTGCCCCAGAGGATGGACATGAAGGAAATGGAGGAGAAGGGTGTGCAATGCCTTTAGGTCCCAGCCCCCTCTGTGTCTCTGAAGTATCTCTATCCCTCTCAAGTTTTGCTCGTATCAGGAAGGCTTACCTGTTGGGAGGTGTTTGTAATAGTAAATAACAGGGTGCAAAAAGTTGGACTGCCAGGCATGCTGTGCCTCTCCCACAGCTCGGTTATAGTAGAAGACATCCTTGTCAGCCCCAGAGAAATTCTTCCCATACTCCATGATGACGACAAACAGCCCACTGGGAGCCTTTCTCCCTGTCTGTGTTTCCAGCTCAGCCAGGATTCCAACTGGGTACTCTTCCAGGTATTCAAATGCTGTAGCATTCCTGTGAATTGCAACCACAACCACCAGATTTTTCCACTAGAGAAAAGCCAGCAGGGATCCAACACCCCCTCAGCTGGTCCAGGCTAAGGCCAAAAAGCCATCAGATGCACTGCTCAAGGAAAGCTTCTTCCTGGGGATAGTAGAAGGGTACTACTCCTCTGAGCCTAAAGGGAAGGTCTGGACCCTTTAAGACAGAGAAGTACTTGGCAGAATTGGGCATACCAGCACCAGTTGTGGCACTGGTACAGGTTTTGACGTGGCTGCTTACATGACTGTAACGTCCTTAGGCAGCAATGGAGCAATTTATGTGGTGGCAGCACGGGAAGCGGTGGTCAAGAAAAAAGGAATGGAATGATGGAGTGCAGTGCTGGGAATAATTACTCACTCACTCTCTCAGCAGTATGATGTCAGCCAGAACACTGAACATCTGGTAGAGGCCTGAGGCCTCGTTCACCCGCTTGATGATGGAATTGGTCAGCTGTGTAACAGGGTAGACTGTGGATGGCCAGGAGACACCATGGTGACGCTTTTCCAGTAGGCGGTGGACTGCACGAGCTAAGACATGGGGAGAAACAAGGGCAGCTTATTTGCACATCCAAGCTTATTTCAGAAATCACACAGATAACTGGCAGGACACAATAAATAATATTTACAGCTCATCTGTGCTTAGGATCTCCCACCCCAATTGCTGGTAACTGCAGTGGAGATGCCCTCTGAAAGCTGATGTGACGCTAAGTGTTTGGTGAGCGGACGGGGGGTCCTAAGGGATGTTTCATTACTTCTGAGCAGTCTTGTTATGATAAGGATGAGCACGCACATAAAGACAGAAATTCTCTCTACCACCCAAAGCCACTGGGTTTTAACTCTACAGCACAGACCTCTCACCCACAGCCTGTCATAAGGCAGAGCATCTGGCAGGCCAAAATCTATTGTGTAACATAGAGACAACGGGAAAAGACACAAGACAAAACAAAGACAGAGAACCCAAAACTTCAGATATGACCCCAAGTCACTTCTCCTCTGCTTCGGATGATGCAGCTGCAGCTTGACTGTGTTTTGTTGCTCTTACTGCCAGCAGTTAGCTATGAATTTTTCCTCTGAAGGGAGGACCAATTGCCATCTCTGCCCTTTCTGTACAGCCCAGTACTCACTTGTATACCGGAATCCATGGATGAAGCCCCCAGCAGATTTCCTGAAATCAATGGAATGGCTAGCAGTGCCGAGAACAAAGAGCCCCCGGGTGCTTGTGGACTCGTAGTTGGGTTTGATCTGAGGATACTTCTTTTTGTCCCCTTTCCCTGGCATCATTTTAAGGGATCTGATGTGCAAAAGACATGAGCAGGCTGTCAGGAAGGGCTTGGGTGAAAAAATAAAAGGGGTTTCTGATACTATATACACATTATATTGCAGCCACTGCAAGACACTGCTTCATGCCCCCACTGTCTTCAGTGGGATCTACTACTTCAGTGAGGACCTTCCAGAAGACAAAGATGCTCATCCCAAGTTAGCTCGGGACAAGAACAAATTCTAGCCTGAACTGCTGACAGTGAGTTTTGGAAGACAGTGAAGTTAGCAGTACCATTTTCAACTGCAGGATGTTCTAGGAAACAAACCAAGGTAGAGTGAAGGTTGCATCCTCAAGGAAAATAAAGCAGACAACACCTTTCTGTAGCGATCTGTACGTGTACCATCCTCATTCAAAAAAACCCCGGCCCAAAACATTATAACATTGCTAACCTTCTCCACAGGACTGGCAGGTCAAGATTTCTAAAGGGACAGGTTTTTCCATGTCCAGGTCCCACCACTGCCATTTGGTCAACCCTGCAGACTGTTGGGACAGCGGCACACACATTCCCACTGTGACACAGCTGTAGCTGCAGCATAAACAAATGACTGTGCAGCACCAGCTAGCTCAGAGCACATGGAGGTCCAGGCAATGCTGCCAGGAGAGGACCTGCTCTTCCCCTTCATCCATACTCAGGCCCTTCACTCCAAGCACCAGCTTCCCTGGAGATCCTGGTTCTCCCTCACCTGTTGTAGATAGAGAAGTCAAACTTCCAGCCCAGGCAGCGGATGACACGGTCGTAAGGTGCACGCGGGGCAAAATTATCCAGTTCATCCTGCGGGAGGGTGATGGAGTCAGTGCCTGCGCTGATGTTCCTGTTCTCCAGGTAGAACCGGAGCGTGATGTGCAGCTTCCCTTTCTTGTCCTTGACGATAGCCAGATCTTCCAAGTCACCCTCCAGAAGCCCATCCAGAGATTTCAGCTGATAGTTGTCCAGCAGGCCGTTATTAATCGCTCTGTGAAAAAAAGGAGAATGTAAGAAGGGCTAACAGATGGGAGGAGAGGTTCTGTCTCAGCTGCTGAAAACAGGAAACCTTTACCAGGTATCCCACATTCCTCTTCAGTGCAAAGGTTATCCCCAGAGCCTCAGGGCTCCCAGGAACTGCACAGGTAACACCTTCACTGCCCTTGCAGGATGCAGTCAACCTCTCAGCTCTCCTCTGTGACTGCAAGCAAGGGAACAACTCAAGACCCATCACTTTTTTATGACACAGTTTCCAAAGGGACATTTTCCTATTTCACACAGACCCTGAAGAGCTCTCATCAAGCTCCTGTGCTCAGCAACTGCATCCTGGACTGCTTTAAACCAAGGGCCTAAAGATAAAAGCCCCCACATTTCCTCAGCAACCCCCAGGACCACAGCACCTCCAGTGCCAGTCTGGCTCATTGCCTGGGCAAGAAGTGATTGTCCAGGTTTATACTCCAGTTGCATAGAAAGAGGAAGAGGAGCAGTTCCTACCTCAGATCCCCGACGTAGTGGGTGGCCCAGGAGAGGCGCACGCGGGACCGGCTCACCATGTGGATGAAATTTGTGACACCCAGAATGTTCTCTGCAGTCTCAAAGGCTGAGTTCCCTCGGCCCAAGATCAGCACGGTTTGGCCAGCAAAATCCTCTGGGTTGGTGGACACAGTCTCGTAACCCTCGACGTATTCTGAGCCAGGGAAGTTTACCACGTTGGGGACCCATGTCCCAGTGGCAACCAACAAGCAGCTGCAAAAACAGGGATAGCATTAGGGAATGCAGGAATTATGGGATCACAGCCCATGGCTCTGTCTCATCACTCCTTCCTCCTGCTGTGGAGGATGGCTATGATATAAACCCTGCACTGGATCAGCTGCGGAGATCATGGTTTCAAAAGAAACTTCTCCCCAGCTTCACCTAATGAGCTGCTCCTCTCTTCCCTGCCCTCAGGCCAGCAAGAACAACTAGGAATACTGTTACATATAGCAAAAGTCAGTGTGGGTGCTGTACATAAACATAGAATCATAGAATCGGTTAGATTGGAAAAGACTTTCAGGATCATCAAGTCAAACCTTTACCCAGCACTGCCAAGGCCACCACTAAATCATGTCACTGAGGGCCTCATTCACAAAGTTTTTGAACACTTCCAGGGGCTGGGCAGCTTGTTCCAATGCCTGATCACCCTCCCTGTGAATAAGTTTTCCCCAATATCCAATCTAACCCTCCCCTGGCGCAGCTTGAGGCTGTTTCTTCTTGTCCTATCACTTGTTACTTGGAAGAATAGACCAGCCACCTCCTCTCTCCATCCTCCTTTCAGGTAGTGGTAGAGAGTGATAAGGTCCCCCCTGAGCCTTCTCTTTTCCAGACTAAAGCCCCCAGTTCCCTCAGCTATTCTTCATCACACTTGTGCTCCAGACCCTTCACCTCCCTCCACTGTTCAAGAACATGCAAGTACTGCTTGCATGTACTCACTGACAATATATATAACACTAAAGTTTCACAGGTTGATTCAATGTTGAATAAAAAATTACTTTGATTTAAAATTTGTATTGCCTTTTAGTCCAGCAAAATAAAACTAGTTTTTAAGGGGGATAGAAGATGATTTTGATATTTAAAAACTTTACCTCCTAGTCATAAAAACACATTAGCAACGTCACTAATTGCTAACACTAAAGCGAAGTGCAGTAATCCCTTTATCTTTCTCTGTAAATTTTACTTAAATCAGAGAAAACTTTGTGACTTGGATGGAAACACCAGGCAGCCGAGGCTAGAGGCACTGCCTGCTGTCCCAGCCCTGCTCACGCAGCTCCTGGTGCGTGGGTGCCCGGGATTGCCTTCTGTCCCCCCCAAGCTTGCCTGCCAGCTCACCTCCAAGTGACAGCCAGCAAACCTGCTGTTGTAGAGCTAAGCTTCCCAGGAGAGGTGAGAAATAAACTCCGTATGTTTACTTGGGTAACTTCTAGGTTTTTAGGAAGGGAGCTCAGCAGCGGTACGGGATACGTAAAATCACAGAATGGTTTGGGTTGGAAAGGACCTTAAAGCTCATCCAGTTCCAGCCCCCTGCCATGGGCAGGGACACTTTCCACTAGAGCAGGTTGCTCCAAGCCCCTGTGTCCAACCTGGCCTTGAACACTGCCAGGGATGGGGCAGCCACAGCTTCTCTGGGCACGCTGTGCTAGCACCTTTGAAGACACCCATGGAGAGCAGCGTGGCTAGCCCTGGGTTCGCCCATTACCTGCACTTGTAGTTCTGCCTGTCCTGGTCGGTCAGGATGAAGTAGTGGCCATTCCAGGCTTGCTCATCCCTCTCCAGCGTGACATGAATAATGGCCGTGTTGTACTGAACCTGCAGCTTCAGCAAGGAAGCGAAGTCCTCCAGGTAACGCACCATCTCGTCAGCGCTGGGGTAGAAGTCGCGGGAGTAGTGCCGGAAAGGCAGCCGGTGGTCGTGGCTGAGGAGTGAGTTCCAGTCGTGGCGCAGGTTGAACTCACTGTTGGATTTGCCCGTGTACCGCTTGTTGATGCTGATGAGCTTGCGGTGGCGAGGGTAGAGGGCGAAGAAGCTGCCGGGAGCGTGGCTCCGCTCAAAGACCACATAGTCCCGCCCGGCTCGCTGCAGGAAATACGCT